GCTGCTTCCCCGTAGCAGCTTTCTGGGGCAGCGCAGCTGCAGCTGCACTAAACAGAGCCTAAGTACGATTAGCTATATAAATCTTTTTTCTCCACTGCATTTTATTGAGTGTCATAATTTCATTTAATTTTTATATATTAAGATCATTTTTTATTCAATAAGCCCAAGTCTTTTTAGGTCTACCTCTGTCTTTCTTAACAAAATTGAATTCAAAACATCTACTCTCCTAACCAGATCATCAGATGACCGTCGTTTAATGTGACCAAACCATCTAAGACGACTCTCTAATCTTGTTTGCCACTGGAGCTATACAAACCCTTTCAGGATACATTCACTTCACATTTTGTCTCTAAGTGTCAAGTCACTCATCCACCTAAGCTTTCTCATCTCAGCAACATTTACTTTGTTCTATTCTTCTCTTTTAAAGAACAAGATTTAATGTGACCAAACCATCTAAGACGACTCTCTAATCTTGTTCGCCACTGGAGCTATACCAACCCTTTCACGATACATTCACTTCACATTTTGTCTCTAAGTGTCAAGTCACTCATCCACCAACCAACATTGTGTAAATGCTGGTTGTGGATACCTAAAACAACCCAACTTTTTTTGCATACGGGGATTGGGACCTAGTAATGAAAGTGCTACAAGAAAATAAAATAAAATAAGATTAACCTATTCAAAGCACCTACACAACAAGTGTCGTTTGAATGAGAAGTTCACTGCTCATGAGAGCATTAAAACGAGGTTTATTCCTCGTCTCTACTCATTCGAATCCAGCGAGAGAGACAGAGGAAGCAAGAGATAGAGAGAGAGAGAGAGAGAGAGAGTGGGTGACAAGTGTCAAGCTGTTCTCCATACAAAAAATGGCCTCCTATGCTCTATCCAAGCAAACCGAGAAGGAGAGGCAATTGTGCCTAGCTGATTGGCAGAGTCGAAGGAGGAAACTTTCCTACCTCTCGTGTAGTTTGTAGGAACGAGGTGAGAATTTGGGAAGGAGAAGAGCTCACGGGATCAGGCGTATGTGCAAGGGAGGGCTTGACTGAGCCTTACTGTTGGTTTAAATTTTTTTAGAGCAAGGAAAAGGAAAAAAAAAAAAAGGTAAATATTAATTTATTTTAAGTTTAAAATGACATTACATATACTTTATATTAAATTGCATTCAATATTGTTAATAATTGTTTAAGGTAATCGACGAAAAGACTGAAATCAGAAAAGCAAAAGGGAAATTTTTGGTAAGAAATCCATGCATTATATTAAATAAATTTTATGATTATGTAGATTAAGTTAAGCCATATGCGGAAAAGAGAACCTCTTAGGAGGCTTAGCAAATCAAAAAGTTAAAAAACTTCATTGATAAAATTGCAATAATTAAAATAAATTAATGGAGTGATTATTATTCAAAAAGGCTAATCAAAACTAAATTGTACATATAGGTGTTTTCTAAAGCTTAGACTAATTGAGAAAATGACAGCAGATGACACTGCTTCAGACACTGCTGAAGCGGATCAATTTGTTTGATTGTACAATAATTATGTTTATTTATTGTTTTCCAACTTCAATTTTAAATGCAAAAATAAATGTTTTCATTTAAATGTTAAATTCAAGAAAAAATGAATAAAATATAATATATGCATATATATGAGAGTCACCACTGAATGGTACTGGCAGAGAAACGCAATGTACCCGTACATGAAAATGGAAGAGTTGTATATTTTTATGGTGTGTTGAAATGAAGCATATTTTTTAAAAGAATACGTTTAGAGAGTGACTTCCAATTATGAAAAGTGCAACATTAATAAATGAAAGTAAATGAAACTGCTCTATTTTACTGATCTCATTAAATGCACAGCTTTTTTACTATTAAAGCATGTTTATGAAATATTTTAAAATAAGAATTATTATAATTTAGAAACATTTATCCACTAAGTAGTTTGAACTCAAACTTTTAGTTGATAACAATTTACAGGGAAAACAGTTATAGACTAGTTGGATCCCATGGAGTACGTGTACAAACACAGTGGAGCACAAGCCGATAGTTTTAACTCCCAATTTTGAAAAGTATAGCATTAATAAATGAAAGTAAATGAAAATGCTCTATTTTACTGCTCTCATTTATTGTACGGCCTTTTACTGTTACAACATGTTTACGAAATATTTTAAAATGAGAATTATTATAATTTAGAAACATTTGTCCACTAAGTCGTATGAACTTAAACCTTTAGTTGATAACATTTTATAAGACTAAATAAACCTCAGGAAGTACGTGTACAAGTACAGTGGAGCACAAACTGATAGGTATAGTGAGTTGGCTTTTATTTTCTATCAATTGTAATATTTAAAAAGATGCACAAAGTAATTGTAACTTTAAATTTTACAAAAAAAAATGGTTCTTTTGTGCTTTGAATTCTATTTTTGTTGAGAAATAAAACTATTAGATGAGTTTCCTTCGTCCAATCGACAATTTCCAACTTGGTAATTCCAAGCTCCAAGATCGTGTCCTGATAATAAATGAGAAAATTACTCTTAAGCTAGGCACTGATGTAACCATACTTCCCTCCAAAAAATTGATGATGGATAAGACAGTATGGCTCCCACATTGCGTCATTAACTAGGAATCTTTTCATTTTATCAGAAATTAGGAGTAACCCACAGGAGTCCGTAATGTAGTTTTGTGCACATCCTTCGGTTGCCTCAGACTCTGAAGATGCCTTGTATTCAAATCAATGTTGCAGGCACCGAAGTCTCAAATAACCTATCCAATAGCTTGTTGATAGTTACTGGAATGAGAAATTTGTCATGTACTGTTTTGAGATTCACAATTCGATAATCCTCACAAAAATACCACCATCCATCTTCTTCACTAGCAAAACTAGGCTAGAGAAAGAGCCCACAGAAAGATGTATGATCCCAACCTCCATAGTTACTCCTAAATTTCCTTCCGCCTAAAAGGCTGCGTTGCAAAGGGCAGGAGCGCAGTTAGATGCAGCCCTGCGCCAGGGTACAACCGACCATGATTACCTGCTTCAGGCCGATATACTTCGAAGCAATCTTTTTCAGGCTCGAATTGCACGTCATCCCGTTCTATCAGTTGTTGCTCATTCCCAACATCCATATGTCTTGCAATTCCCCCCACATAGTGTCACTCGAATCCGTTTCCAATTCTTTCAATTAATCTCGCCTACATCGGGTCATCCCATCTATTCAGATGTCGCATTATTCCTTCCAAGTGCTCCTCCCAACTGCTTACATAACCACTCCTCCATGTTTCGGTTCACCCCCCTCTATCAGAAATTTTTAATCCACCCCCAATTAGAATCCTAAGAAGAGTTCTTGATGGTGGATGTTTTCATCCTCATGATCCTCACACTTGATCTGGTCACGGAATGTTCGGTCAACCCTTGGTTAGGGCTTGCAAATTGAACAGTCGGTAGGGTCTTGAATTGTATCTCAATAAGCTTTCTCATATCTCCTCCAAGCTTCCGAATAAATCTTCCATGGAAGTAAACTTATCGTATATAGTGGAGAATCATTCCTCTTTCCCACATTTAAGTTGACTAATCTCTTCCTTCAATTTCTTTTCCAAATCATCGATACATTTTGTTGCAATTATTCTCAACCTATATTTTATCATGAAGAGCCAATAAATTAGCGTGACTCACTTTGGATTGAAAATCGCAACTATATCACTACGTTCGGTCGACACTTGCAATTGGACTGGATCAACACGCCTGTACTGTGAGCTCCACCTCAAATTGATCATGTTTGTACCATTCAAATCTATCGTTGGCTAGCTCGATTTTTTAATCTCGATCCCGCTTTGGGCTTCCCAGCTAGCTCTTGTCGTAACTATATTTCAAGACTCGACCTAATGAAATGTTGCAATCCCATTGTTGCTTCTACAGTTAGCTTCGAGCACGTCACAACTGTATCCGTAAGTCTCGGAGAGAGAAGATGGGAGTTTCGGGTCTCTTACGCCGCAAGTCCTAACGTCCGCTTCCCACGTGTCAAAATCCCGCCGGTTTTCACAAGTAAAAGAGACGGAAGACGCAATCCTGTCATTGCCTTCCCAGCAAGCTTAACTCACAACTGTGTGGCAAGCCATGATGCTATCGATTGCGTCTGGAGATCAAGCACTTTGTATGCCTCGATACTTGTTGCAATTGCTTCTATGTGAAAACTCTGGCTCTCGATCTACCCACTCTTGTTCCCATAACCAAATACTATGATACTAATTTGAGACGATCTGGAATGGATTTCTTACAAATATTAGGAAAAACACATTTTACTTCATGAACACCAATATCAAATTAGTAAAATATGAAAACATAAAGATAAGCAACTACAATGCGAGAGGTGGGTTATCTCTACCATATCCTACAATTCGAGAGGCAGGAATTCATTCCCCAAAACCTAACACTAAAACTCAAGACAATAATATTCTGCATAACTCTAACCTTAAACAAATTAGCTCTATTTATACTAAATAAAAATAAATAACAAAAGGCTAAATAGCCCTTAAGCTAATAAATGATAAAATTTCCCTAAGGCTAGGCAACCGCGTAAAACAAACTTAGAATGATAGATTTCTATCATCTAATTTGATGGGGAGTGTTGAAGGACCATTGAATCAAAAAGGGTAAACATGAGTGCTAAATATTAAAAATTAGAGTTTGTTTACAAGAAAATACCTCTCTCTGGATTCATACAAAAACAGAAAAGAAAGAAACCACAATTTGCTCTCTTATCAACAGTCAACAATCCCTAAATAATAGATTAATAGTAGATAACTAAGGGCAGGTTTTTTGTTCGTTATTGTGATTACATTTCCTTTTTGTTTTTATATAATTTTCTTTGTAAAAACCAATTGATAGACTAACAATGCAAAGTTTCCTAGCCACTTCGTCTTTTCTACAATAAGTAACACTTTCTAAAGATTGAAAAAGTATGAAGGGAAAAAGCTAGAAAACTGAAGTAATAGTTAGGATGCATAAGCTAACCAGAGCCTCAGTGGGAACAGAAACAACTCGTGGAGCCTCTCGTATGTATTCTTCCATGGTAGCAAGAAAAGACTGTGGGGGCTGAAATATGATTAAGAGAATGAATCAGCAAAACTTACATAATCGAAAAGAATTCAGGAAAAAACATTTGAACAACAGCATAAACTACCTCTCTCAAACTTGGAAATTGGAAGTTCCTAGCAAGTTCTAGTCCCCTACAGACCTCATAAAATTCTGATAGGTTTGTAGCCTGAGAATTGAACAAGAAATTAGCATATTAAGCATAATAAGGATATATATACATATAGATAGATAGATAGATAGATATACATATAGATAGATAGATATATATATATATATATATATATAGACACACACACACACAGAGAAAGAGAGAGAGAAAAGGGAAACTACACTTTTTTACAATAATGTAGTCCGAATGGATGGTTGTATACCTGTTGACCAGCCCTTTTGTAGATCTCAAGGGCATTGACGGCTTCATGCCTTGGCATCTCAAAGAACTATACCAGAAGAAAGTTGCCAAAAAAATGAATGTTAATAAAATTTACACGGATCAATCAGGACTTGCATGATGAAAACTAAAGAGAAACAATATCGATTTACACCTTATCCACAAGGTTAATGATGCCATCATTAATAGCACAATAAATTTTGAAACTTTCTTTCAGAACCTGCAAATTTATGATAACAAAAGAATGACATAGATCACTTTTTCAAATATGATAAATATATGATACAAAAATAGCATATAGGACCAACAGCTCCACAGAACAAGAGCAAATAACAGTGACAATGAAAGCATTTCTCTTGAAACAATTCAATGATTAGCATAATTTTACAATCAATACGTTGATTAAAAAGAAATATAGACGATTTTTAACTGCAATCAGGGAACAATAATATATAACAGAATCTGAATGACTAATAAAGGCATCTGCCTACATTTCCAGGTTAGAAAAAAATCAACAAATTACTAGCCTGGATATATTTGATGTATGTACATCTAACAGTGTTTGATAATTATATTAGATAAAGATAGAAAGCATTAGCAAGGCAGTGATATTATGGATTAATAAAATTAAAAGAGAGACTGTTAAAGTGAAGGGAATTTCTTCAAAGTTTTTTAGAGGGAAGAGGTAGATTACGAGACGAATGAGCTCAAGCAACTCTACTTTTGCGTCAATTTGTCAATTAACAGAGTTCACTTTAACTGTGCAAAACTAATAGCATATGAGCATCAATCTACAAAACTAGGTCAAATAGAATAAAAAGATGGTAAGAAACCGTACGCATGAAATTAAACAATACACAACTTGGACCAATTAAATGTAAGCATCACATTACAAGGTAAATTTCATCTAAAATCAGTAATAAGTACAAGATAGAACTCTAAATAAAAAATACCAAGCAGCAGAACAGTCCAATTTCTGATAAAAGCAATTACAGAACAGCAGCTAGAAGAATTTAAAAAATAATAAAAGGGCGAACTTTACAAAAAAAAAATGAAAACCCAGGGAACCTGAACAACAAGTAACCTTGCATTATGAGGAAAACGATGATCTAATAAGTGTATATAGCAAACAATAGCGCGATGGATTAAAATTCAGATTAAACTGCCAAAAAAAGAATATAGCGGGAAGAAGTAATTCACCAAAGAAATCAAGATAGGAGGTGGAGGCTCACCAACGCCAATGCATATTGAATAACATAACTGCTAATTGCAGCTCCTTCTGGCTGTATAATAAGATAAATATAATAGAACATTACAAGCAATTAGAACCTCCAAGCAGAAGATAATATTTGTGCATTCATGAAAGTATTAAAGATAAAACATCAACTAATGTTCCAAGATGATTACACGGCATCCAATAAGACGATAAAGTAATTGCTGAAGTGCGGGCAACTGTTCTAACAACTCCTCACAATTCAACCGTCTGGTTCTACTATAGCCCTGAAAGATGAACCTTAGTCTTAGTAAACTTATTTAATAAAAAAAACTTAAAAGTGAAGAATAAACAGTAGCTTCTGCTTTAAAATTTCAATGATGTGACAGCACTGTCCACACCTTCTCTGAACCTTGAACAGGTTTTTCCAAGTGTTCAGCTTCAACATCATACTTTAATAAGCGGAAGCACTCCAACCTTTCCTCCAAAAATAAAGCATAAGTCCGAACCCAAGCAGAGCAATCCCAAGCTACAAAAGGTGATGACTTGTATTATTCCAAAACTACAATCAAACCATCAAATATAGTATTCTCGAGACAAGATCAAGTGAATGTAGCAAACCAATAGGACTTGAGTCATCCTTGAAGTTTGATAATTGGAGAATGCCTGTCCTCAGAGAGAAATTCAAAAGCTCCTCACGGAAAGTTGGATCACCCTCCCTTAGAGACCTATGTATAACAATTAGAGTCTTCAAAGCAACCTGTAAAGCACATTATCACAAATCAATAGATACAATCATAGAGCATAAGCATTACACTGAAAGAAAGGAGATGAACAAAGTCTGGATTAGAAAATAAGTTTGCTACATTCACTTGATCTTGTCTCGAGAGATTTCTCTTCACCCGAAATATTATTTTGAAGAGAGATTTCTCTTCACCCGGGAGCCCCATCAAGGAAATGATTTAGGAAAGAGGTTGGGATGCCTTCATCGTCGAACCCATTGGTGCCTTAGTGTCGGTCCTCCGAGAATTCCTGGCAAATGCCAAAGAAGCCTTGGACAACACAATTTTTGTTTTGGGGATGTGGGTTCTTGATCCTGATTTATATTACAGTATGATGTATGCGATTATTTTTTAATTTTTCCTTATTTATATTTCTTATTTTGCAACGGTGCCAAAGTAATGCTCAAGGAAAATTCAATCTACCTGTCCATCTCCCCTGCAAACCCCACATAATAAAAACCTAATTACCACCAAAAGTATCCAAATGATTCCAGTATAAAACTAAATTATCCTCACAATCAAGTGAGAATCTGCCAACGCCACTTCAACACTTAGTGTACGTCAGAAATGTGTCAGCACGAACCTCGAGAAAATTCAATGAACTAGAAGACAAAAGTACAGTCAAGGATGGTCCATCAAAAGAAACAAGGACCACGTCAGCAGAAAACCAAAGGATCCCATTAACCAGCCTACCCGTGCCACTTCTTCCTCATGCACTTCCTTAGCCGCCGTCGTGGACATAGGCTCAGGATCAACTTCGACAAGAACTCCAAGGGATGGCGGATCAGCCTCCCCTCTCGCAACAAGCTTGATAAAATTGGAAGGAGGGGCCTGCCTTGGGGTCGTTGGATCCTGACCCGATCGATCCTCTGATTGTGCCTCAACATCATTCCCAGGCAACTGGGCATTCGATGCCCTCACCTTCAAGAGCCCTCGAAGTACCTGGTTTCATGAAAACAATTTTTTGTTCTATAATGATGAGTTCTCTAGAGGAAATCCGTTGAATAACTATAGTAGTTTCAAAAGCGAAATGAATGTAATCCCAAACTGAAAGATTTACATTTGGACGACAACTCCCTCCAACTCGTCCCTCTCCTCCACGGCAACCTTCGGTTGGGCCACCATTTTGTGCGGCTTCTTCTCTGCAGGGTAGGAGATTCTCTCTAGCCGCTTCATTTCTTCCTCCGGATCCAATGCAAACCACGGTTCTGCGGTCATCACCCCATATTTGTTTGGGTTGAGGACCTTGTTGACTATGACCCACTCAGTATACTACTCCACCGACAATTGTTTCCCCTTGATAGTCGAGGCCAAGGATCAGATTTGGGAATACACCAACTTCGACCTCTTGTAGCCTCCACCAGTCAGTTTGACCTGGATCCCTCAATTCTTGGTCGAACCAACAACGAACCGGCGCTTCAAATCTTTTATCGTATTCTCAAGACTAGTCAGATGTAGCTTCTGGGTCGACTCGAAGATCACATAGTCGTCCATCACAACCCCGAAAGAGATTATATAGGAGAAAAGCTCTTGAGATCACGGGATCTCCATTCATCAGTAGTAAACCACATAAGACACAATCACCACTATTGAATTCAACTTGATTTGAACATGAATCACACAATAATGATTCATAATAGATCGGAACTCCTTGCAGAGCGGCAGTCAGAGACCTCATTGGAACTACTCCAGGTAAAATACCAGGTTACTCCCGAGATAGTTAGTCGTCCGACTATCTAGACCAACAACACACAGATGAATCTCTATATCAAAGATATATCCCTCTTGAAGCGAGAAAACATCAACAGCAAATAAATCAGACCGCTCAATCACGCAAACGATCCTGAACAGTTTCAGAGAATACTTTGCCATAGGAACAAAAGCTAGAAGATCAAAGAGAAGAAAAGTTAGTCGACCGAAAGGAGAAAAAGAGATCGAATGTGGAGCAACTGCTAACACTTATATATAAGGGCGCTAGTAGAAGTTCAAACCTCACGGCACAACCATGCGCTAACTTCCAAAGCCCAAATCACATAAACACATAAATCGAAGTGAAAACTGAAGACAAAAATTAGTTTTCTTTTGCAAAAATGAATAAAAAACACATTTTATTCAGAGATAAAATATTTTACAAGTGGGTCTTCCGTCGTCTCGGCCGAGACATACCCTCGTCGAGCTAATTTCCCATACAACACATGCCCTCCAAACCTAAACCCATCTACCCTGTCAGAATGGGCCTGGGCCTGGGCCTGCAGGATCAGATAGGTCGACCGCATGTCGGCCAGTTCCACTCGAAGAGTCGCAAATTTAATTGAGTGCTCCAGCCTCATGGCCGCCAGCTCCTCCCGAAGCACTTCCACCTCCGCATTTTATTGCGAGCTACGGGTTCCTTTCAAGGCCCACTTGGAGGCCGACCAGAACATCAGCCAACTCCTCCCTGCTCCATACATGTGCACTAGAAGCGGGAACTCGGGCGGCGCCTGGTTGCGGTGAATCGACGCTCTGAATTGCGTCACCTGCATCAACGAACAAGCTTCAACCAAAAAGAACTTACACTCACAACAGATCATCATCACATGTCGAAGGCTCAATATAACTCAGACTAATGGAAAGAAAGACAACTCTAACCAAGAATTGGTGGGGCTCCTGCAACTGATTGACCAAAGTCTAGTTTCAGCAAAGAAGGTCCCTTTATCTTGCGGAGCACTGACCATTTTATCCCCAAGGACTAGTTTCAGAACCGCAAGCCAGTGAGGCTTTGGCTATTCCTTGAGCAGGCAACACAACTGGCTGAGTGCTAGGCGCAGCGGGAGCAGGGGTCGGTGCACCAACATGCTAGCCTCCTTCATTTTGCCGAAGGGTCAGCGAGTCGAACAACGAGACTTCACCCGCTTCTTCTTGTAAGTGAGTTGCTTAACTCACCTCACACCATCGAGTCGACCGCCTTCAACCAACTTCTTCGACATTACAGGTTTCTTCGCACCCTCGGGCCAGCCACCTTCACCCAACTTATTCGTTCTGATTTTCTCACCCTCAAGGCGGCTGCCACCCTCAGGTCATCTCTTCCTCTCAAACTCTTTGTCCCGACAGGCACACGAAATAGTTTCACAAGAAGCTTTTACCAATATTTCCTCGATAATACAATCAACTGAGATCTCTTCGTTGCCTTCCATGGAGATCCTCTAGAAACCAAACGATTGAATAAAGAGCTCTCAAATCACGAGGATACGTAAGCACCAATCGTGCCCTATTTATAAAAGCTCATGAGCACGAAAATCCAAGGAGTTTAATTATTAAAGTATTGAATATAAAAAATAAATGAATTTATATTTTGCAATAAATTCACTTGCACTTAGCGTAGCACGACTTTCAAGAAAGCAAGAGAATCGAGAAACTAAATAAGTTCATCAGAAATACGTCAGCATGAAGCTTGAGGAAATTTAACATACTAGAAAACAAAAGCACAATCAAAGATGGTCGATCAAAAGGGGCAAGGACCACGTCAGCAAAAAACCAAAAAATCTCGTTTACCGGTCACGACTCCGTCAAAGCAAGAGTTAGGCCGACCGAGCGAGGGTCATCGTGATCAAATATCAAAACCTATCTAAGAGAAAGAACCAGTCCAACTCTCATCCAAATATCATCAAACGTACTGCAAGAGCCTCCAAGACACTTCAAAAGGCTCAAGGGCCTCATCACCGAATATTCAAGCGGAATCTTTTGTCAAAAGTGATAAACTATCTGTCAGATTATGGTGATTCACTTTTTGTCTGACCGTCTATTTTTACCCAGACAACATGAGTTTAAGGCTGCCAAAACAGCTCGTTATTCATGAACAACTCGTGTTCGAATCGTTAAATAGCTTGTGTTCGATTCGTTCTCTAAGCAAACGAGCAGAACACAAAAAATGTTTTTGAACTCGATATATAAACGAGCTGAACACGAACTCGTTTTGGCTCGAAATAATTAAATTATTTGTATAATCATATATAATGAGTATTATTTTTAAATAATTAATAGACTACAAGGCTACAAAGAGTTATGATTAATTAAAATTAGAATAAAATAATATTTAATTTTATTTAAATGAATATTTTAATATAAATAATAAGATTTAGATCCCGCCCTACCCTTAACATCTATGGTTGTGTGGCTAGAGTTATCAAAATGGCTCATTGTTCGTGAACTCGTGTTCGATTCGACAAGCAAACGAGCCAAACACGAACAAATTTTTTGAGTTCGATATATAAACGAGTCAAACACGAACAATGATATTTTTTAACGAGCTGACTTGACTTGTATACACCCCTATCAGTTGCATCTAGAGTGTTCAACTGTTTCATTGTTTGCAAACAGCTCGTGTTCAGCTGGCTAAGCAAATGACTCAAACACAAACAAATTTTTTGTGTTCGAAATATAAACGAGTTGAACACAAACAGTAATATTTTTTAATGAGTTGAACACGAGCTGAACCCAAGTTCTTTCATGTTCGACTAGTTTACACCCCTACATGAGTTTCTCATCCAAGATTTCAACAGTCGGCAGCTGGATTTAGACAAATGACCGACTAGCCCAAGCTGGCTGAATGAAGTCCGGGCGACCGAGCGAAACCCAGATGACCGAATGATCGAATGACCATCAGGGCCGACTGATCTCCCCAAAACAAAAGAGTCAGTCGAATGTGCCTAGCCCCAAGGATTATAAGTCCTTGCCAATTGAACTATACGATAGTTAAACCATAGGCTCTTTTATTTGTTATATGTCTAAAATAACCTATAACATCCTCGTAAAGTCAAGGATAATCATGTAATTTTCCAATTTACCCCCTTGTCTGTAAATAGTAGTCTTTTCTATAGTCAAGGGTTAATTAGTGATCTTTAAATAAACCAGATTCTTATCGTGCACACTCTCTCTCTTTAGCTTTTTCTCTCTCCTGCTTTTACACTATATTCCTTGTGTATGATTCAGAAGCAAGATTTAGATTCAACAGTTAGAAATTGCAGCGACGTCTTATAAAATAAAATAAGGAAATAGTACTAAGAAAGTTTTTTTTAATGTCCTTCGGGTGCAGGTTAGTAAATTGGGGTGCTATAAGTATTCGGAGTGGCCTATAAATTTTCATGTCATATAGGAGTTAGGGATCTTTCGTAGAATGGGTGAAAATTCTCGCCCATGAGGAGGATTTCCCCTGAAATAAGGAGCAGTGGAGTGCGAAAACGATAGTGGGGCGGGGTCAAAGACCATCCCAAGGTTGGTTTATCCTGAGTACCTAACCCTTTCTTGTGTCTTGACAGTATGGTCCCGTGGTTTCCTAAAGATTAAAGTTTGTTATAGCGGCAGACGCTGGGTGAATATTCTTGGATAACAAATAGTGGAAAGTTATCTTCCCGTTTCTTGCATTTTTTAGCCATGCAGAGAAGAGGACAGATGTTGGTAAATAGCTGCCTTCTCGGTTCTTGCATTTTCTTCCACACAGAAAAAGGAAACAGCAGCTGGGTGGTTTTCCTTCGATTCCTGAATTGCTTGAAGTTAAGAAAAGAGAAATACCAACTCTATGTCAGTTGAAAAAAAGAGGGAAAGACCTTATGGGTAGAAAACAAGAGTCAAGCAGTAAAACAATCCAAGGGGCTTTTATTGGTGGGACACAATGCAATAACCAATCTTTAGACATCTCGTTGATGCAGAGAAATATCTCCATCTTAGGTTCTCTGTTTTCCTTATACCTATAATACAGTTTTTTTTATTTCAATTGCTATCTACTGTTTTTTTCATCAATTCACTGCAGAAAGCATGAAGCAAAAAGCTCTCGTGTCAGTGTGTCACTATGTAACATGGTAGTTATCTAAGAGGAGAGAGCCCGAGTTTCACTTTTTGTGTAATATACGAATTTACTGTACAAGTATTCCTATATCAAATTGAAATGTCCTATATTTCTATATATTTCTTCTTTTCATCACATTGTTCTAAGTGATTTCAAGTCAACTACATTAAAATTCAATTTTGATGAAAATCGAAAGTGTTAGAACCAAGTTGGCTTAAACTGAAGTTTGTTTAGAAAAAAACCATAGTTTGTTTAGCAAAGTTTGTTTGAACTGCACTCAACATGCCAGATTTCAAGTCCAGATAAACAAATTCAAACTCAACTATTTTATCCTCATATAGACAAGGAAAGAATAAAGAAGGAATCCAAAACAGCCTTTTAAGGAGTCAAATGATGAATCCTTTAACAAAAGGCAGTTAGGATTGATATTGATATTTATGCTTTCTTAACACCACCTAATTTAAACTTAGTTAGCAATCAAAATTCTTTTTTTTTAAGGTTAATGATGTATCACATTCCAATTATAATATCAAGAAAAAGGTGCATTTGAGAAGCCCTTCAAAATAGTTGTTTCACAAATTTAAATGACATGTAAGGCATCCTGGAAGGTGATAATGATATGAAAGCTCGATTATGGCTAGGTGGTGATGATGATGATAAAAAAAACCCTAAGCAAAAAAGGATGATATCCGTGGACAAGTTATAAGAGATAACAAAGGATGAGATAATGAAACTAGTAAGACATACGTGTCACTATGATTGCGTCAGGTAAGAAAATCAAGAAAACTGGAATATCATCACTTGTTTTTAATTTAAGCAAGAAATTAAAAAGAAAAGTTTAGTGATTCCAACTACCACCATCAACAAACTGAAGGCATATGAAAAGTTTCTCTAACACACCAAGGATCTTGTCGCTCCATATTTATTTTGTTCTTAGCCAGGGGATTAATGTCTGATAATTCACCACATGAACGAGGTGTATACTTAAAATAATTAAGAAAAATGCAATGAAACAGATTAAGTTTGAGCTCCAAGAATCTGAAGAATTAAGATCATTTCATGATGATCAACAGAAACAACTCAACAAAATATCAATATTACTTTATTTGGAATCCCAAAGATCCCAAGGCTATAACACCAAAACCCAAGAATAAAAAAAATAGAAGGCAACAATATGTTTGCACAAGCTGCAGGTATCATCTAAAACTTTGCAAATGAATTGAGAAACAAAGGATCCAAGAAAAACGATGTTATGAGGCAATATAAGGTTTCAATTACTGAAGCAAGTGAACTTGATAGAAAAGCAATGAATTCCTTTTATCCTTTTTTATAAAACGTGGTCATGCCAAGGAAAAATCATAACTAAACAGATATTCTATTCTCAGCAAATCGATGTTGGTTCCAATCCATCCCATGACACCAAAAATAAAAAAAAAAAACTCAAAGAAATCAACTACAGAGATACCCAGATATATTATCAGAATAATAGAATGTAGGATTTTAGGATAAAGTATGCGCACTGTCCAATTGTGAGTCTTAGCAAGCCGTCTCGCAAGAGCGCGTATACAGTAGGCCACGTCTGCCCGCGGCCGTGATATTACTGTAGCCGCCAAGATCCCTGAAAACAAAACCGATCACATAAAACAACGGATTAGAAAGCAGAAGAATCCTACATCTCCGGATCAAAAAAAAAGAGAATGGGCATGACGCACTTCTGATATGCCTCTCCTTGGGCGGACACTCGACGTGATTCGTGGCCTTGACGATGGCAATATCCAACTCCTACAGAGAGAAATCCAGCTAACAGGTTAATAAAGATCCCTATCAAATGACTATATTTAGTTAAAACAAACACCGAGAACTTTACGGATCAAAAATCCTAAATAAGGAAAAGGGTTTTTAGAATCAAAACCTTAAAATCGCTGTTGAGATTGGCGAGACCGACGGTGGTGGAATCCTTAAGGGCTCCATAAGCCTTCCGCAAACTCTGCATCGTTGCCATCTGTACTCCGTCGAAGCCGCCGCTGCTGCCGCCAACAACGCAGCAATCGCGTACCTCAGGCGGCCGATTAACTTTACGGATCACTCGTATCTATCTCCTCCTTCGCCGTTGCCTCGATGATCGGTTTTCGCTCGCGCTTTTAAGTTTGTGCGACTGTCCAACCGAAAGCTCGCGCTGAATCTCTCTCTCGCTCCCTCTGGGAGAAGAATTTTTAAGAAACTTTACCATCGTTTTATAATAAAAATGCGTATTTTATTATAGCTTTATAAATGCTTATGTTAATTTCATTAAAAAAAATTTTTGTGGGAACCAATTGGAAATTTAGGAGTGCAATCTAGTAAGCTGCTTAACTTTGACTGTCTAGTAACATTTTCAATCTCATGTTTTCTCTTGGTACATTGAAATATTACTCAAATCTTAAAGAAGTCAGGGTTGTTGGATCCATCTTCTCAAGATGTATTTTTTCAAATATATTTTGACGACCTCACTTTTGGGGTTCTTATGCTATGATTGAAAGATATTATGGAAATCCTTCTTAAATTTGATTTATACATGGTCTACCCATACAAACATTATAAGGATTATTTTGACCCCAAGATGTTTGTGCCCCCTTTTGGCATGTTTTGAGGTTAAGACGGCCAAACAGAGTCTTCCAGCACCCATGGTCGTGGCTCCTAAGTGCTAAATCTAGGAATCCACAAAAACGGAACAACATTGTGACACCCATGTTGGCATCGCCATCTATCATGTGGTTAATGATGGAAGCTTCCAAATGTTGCAGCATTGTTATGGTGTCGAAGCCTCGAAAGCAAGCATCACAACACACCATTAAAAACTTTAAAGTGTTGATTGACAGCACAGTGCTCAAGGAGTCTGGCGCCTTTGATATTCTAGGTGTCGCGACGCCCTATCAAATCTAATTATAGCAAGCGTTTGGAATAGATGGTGATATTTATGATTTAGAACCTGCACTGTGTTACCGTACATGGCGTCGCAACACCCAAATGTCTATATATGAGGTTTGGGCCCTATAGTTTCACACGTTGAATTGTCTCCATAGAAAAATCCATGTGATCTTTTTTTCCATCTTTTAATATACCTTCATGATTAATTTAGGAGATGACACTTTGCCAATGAACACGGATACCTAAGCCGAGAGCGGGCGAGTGTGACGTATCCCATTTCATGAGCATGACATCACAAGAGATGTACAAAAAAGCTCATTAAACACCCAAAATATTGTTTTGAAGAGAGATTTCTCTTCACCCAGGAGCCCCATCAAGGAAATGATTCAGGAAAGAGGTTGGGATGCCTTCATCGTCAAACCCATTGGTGCCTTAGTGTCGGTCCTCTGAGAATTCCTGACAAATGCCAAAGAAGCCTTGGACAACACAATTTTTGTTTTGGGGATGTGGGTTCCTGATCTTGATTTATATTACAGTATGATATATGCGATTATATTCTTAATTTTTCCTTATTTATATTTCTTACTTTGCAACGGTGCCAAATTCTTGATCCCGGGCAAACACTAGGCAAAAACTTGACTTCAAAGCAAATAAGAATGCAATTATTATATTTAAATATGGAATACTACGCAAGTATATTTATCGTTATCAAGTATTTATCGTTATCAAGTAATTATCGTTATCAAGTAATATAAAACTTTTTTATTAAGCCTCAAATATCGAACCTATAGGGAGAAAAACAATATGTAACTAAATTAGAAAAAATTAGATATCAAATTCTACTTTGCAAAATATTCTTACCAAAATATTCTTTTTATAATTTTTTTTAATGAAAGTTTGGTTTTTTTATAATTTTTGATAATTTGAAAATAAAGTAAGTAACTAACTAAATTTAACTAGATATTTGAAAGATGAAGGCAATATAATAAAATATATTTTTTCTTTTCATAAATAAGTAACAAGTATAGGAATTCTATTGTGGAAGTATTCAAATTGTGTTGTGTCAAGTATGAGCAAAAGTATTCTTTACCCTTACTATACTAGAGACGCTATAAAGAATTTTAGCTAATTTAAAGATTGAACACTCTTGAAGACGGGCTAGGTAGGGAAGACAATAGATCTCACTCTATAGTTCCCTCGTCTCTTTCCACCTGTGGGCTAACATCTCGTATCAAAACCTAAAATTATAGACCAAATTGGTGGCTTTAAACTGTCACTCTAAAGTCCTCTAATTCTACACCATTCAATGTTTATTTCTCTATTTATTTGCACTCAATCACATGAATTACATTCTCTTTCATACAATCTCATGTGATTCTTACCATTAGTTGACTGAGATAATACCATCTCGAATCTTACATATTCTCACAAAAAATATTAACATCTTAATTGGCCAAATCAAGAGGTAAATGAAGTACAATGTTTAAAATCATCACAACTTATTCCAACATTAAAGATTAATACTTCACACAACTTTTATCTAATACTTAATCACTTATCATTTTAAGAAAAAAAAAGTTAAAGAAAACTACTCAGAATTCATGGAAAAAACACAACCACACTTAAGTTTGAAAGTTGAAATCATGCAAATAAACTAGAAGTCTGAATTAAAGTCAAATGTAGTCACAAAGATAAAAATGTATCTCAAATCCTCTCCTCCAAACTCTTGAAGTTCCTTTGAATCTCTTCTCTTCCTTTCTCTTACAATACTCTCTCCTCACTCACTACAACTCCTCTCCTTCTCTCTAAAAGTTAGCCTAATTAATCTAAGAGAGAGAGGCGTCAGTGGTGTCTGGAGGGGGACGGCGGCTCCTTTTCATATCAATCCAAGTCCTTTTATAATTTTTCAAACGGTGCATTGGTGTCTCTTTAAAATGTGACCACATTCAATAATCTTCCAATAATTGCCTCCTTTCAAATGCCAATTGAATGTATTTTCATGTCCATTAACTATTTCTCATGTTTCCACCAAGAGTTTCTTTAAACACCTCTTCAAAAATTCGTCCAAATTCATTGAATCATCAAGTAACTACTTCTAGCACTTAAGCGTGAGGTACTTGGTGCTTAGGCGCAACCTTCTCGGTTTTACTGGCGTTTAAGCGCTAGTTCTGGGAGCTTAGGCATCACAATTTTTTTGCACACCTTCTTCATTTTTGCTCCAAATTTGATCATTTTCACTTCTTTCACCATTTTTCATCCATTTGATTATACTTCAATGAAAAACACACAAATACCTTTCTTTAAAGTGTCATATCTCAAAAATAGGTATAAAAATTTGTGCATAAAGACAATATATTTTAGGTGTATCAAAATACCCCATACTTAAAATGTTAATTGTCCTCAAATGACACTCTAATCTTTTAAAACCAAAATAAGTAGATTATATAAAAGAAGTCTAAGAATATGAGTTCCTCTCTAGTTCATAAATATTTGTAAATTCTCTAAATATAGAGTTTAGGCATTCTATCTTCTTTATATAAAAATGTTTATTAAGAATAATTATTGTTACTATATTATATCCTTAAGCCTGAGAGTTTCTCAAGTCTTATACTTTAAAAGAGATCCAATGTGGAATCAATTTTTTATTATGAACTAATCCTCAAGCTTCTCCTCCCTTTTTCATCTTTCTTTTTCTTTTTCTTTTTCTTTTTCTTTTTCTTATTTTTCTTTTTCTTTTTCTTTTTATTTCTTTTTAAGGTGAATATTATTATATATGGATAGACTTTTAATGATTTTGAATTTCAATCCTCCTTTCCTAAAGAAAAGTTCTGATATATATCATTTACTAAAGATTATACTAATAGTTTTGAAAATTATTTTTAATAAAAGAAATTTAAGTATTGAAAATAAAAATCTAACCCATCTATATTTTTCAAAAAATATAATTTCTCCTACTAAAGACAATTACACAATTTTTATCATTTCAACACTAAAAATTTTAAATTTAAGGTCTTCTTCATTACTATAGGTTTCAACTAAATCCTCTTACTCATTTCTATATTCAAAATTTTACTTCTCTAATATAACTTCATATACATAATAATTTTTTTTTAAATCAAAATCAAATTTATTTATAGCACATTTGAGAACAAATAAAATTTAAATTTTAAAAAGTTGTTTTTCATCCCCCCAAACTTAAATTTTCAATAAGATAAAACAATTTAGCATCATATTTATATAGGTGTCGGTCGCCAAATTGGAAGTTATCGGTTGCCGGAATAGGAATCCCGATGTCATGTTATATATATATATTGGGGAAAAATAGTATTTTAAATTTTAAAAATATAAGACCGGACCGATCTCATATCTCAGTAGTTTAAAAAAACGAGCCTAATACCGCAAGCAATGCATCTATCTCGAAGGGTAGACACACTTCTTACTTGTAAGATTCGATTAAATAAACTAAAGAATTTATGACATACGTTTAAGTCTGCGAAAAAAATTATTTTTTATGTTGACCGACAAATTCCCTTATTTAATAAAAAATTTAAATAGAGTTTATATTAAGCTGAGTTCTTGAAAGTTTCCTAAGGGGGCGAGCCCTTATAGTTAATTACATCTTAGATAACCGAAGTCACCTAAGACAATTCTCGATAAAAATAGGGGATATTGTCTTCAAGAATTTCAGAGGATAGGACTTTTTAAAAGATCAGACAAAAAGTGTGAAAGAGGAATGACTCAAATTTGGAACATTTATTTTTGAATCCAAAGGAAGAAGTACTAGGGGATATCATGCCTCCTGAGGAGAACCTTGGGGACCTCCCAAACTATCCTACTTGGTTTTACTTCAATTTCGAGAAGAATTAAGTGTTTTATCTTGCCAATTTTATAAATTAGGGCTTACATTTATACGAGATAATCACACAAATAGCATGCAAGATATGAGGATTTAGGTAGTGATGAATGACAACTCAAAATCCTAAAACAAGTTTGGGCTTAAATTGTATAACAGAGTCATACAAAGGCCTAAAGAGAAGTTGGGGATTTATGTTGCACTAGGAGGACGACCTCAAAATCCTTTGGCTCATTGTTTAATTTCTAAGAAAATATGTATTGTTGCAGATCCTCGTGTTGTTGCAGATCGCAGTTGTAGAAGGATGTACACAAAGTTAGCTTCAAACTCCTTGGGGAAGAAGCAGTCCTATAGTCTAAGGTTTAAAGGTTTAAATGTCATGAAGAAGTAGTCCTATAGTCTAAGGTTTAAAGGTTTAAATGTCAAGTTTAAATTCATTCATTATGGGGGGGTTAGAGT